TTAAGACTTGGAATATATCTTGCCATTCTCTCCTAGCCTGTAGGATTTCTGATGAGAATTCTACTGTGATTTTATTTGGAGATCCTTTCAAAGCAACCTGGTGTTTTTCTCATGCACACTTTAGTGTGGAGAGTTTGATTACAATGTGTCATGGTGAAGATCTTTTCCGGTCATGTCTATTAGGTGTTTATGTGCTTTTTGTACTTGGATGTATCTTTCTTCCTTCAAATTAGGGAAATTTCCTGTTACTTTTTCACTGAAAAGCCCTTATAAGCATTTTTCTCTTTCTACACCTTCAGGAACCCCTAGAACTCCTAGAACCCATATATTGGGCCATTTGATATTACCCTGTAGACTTCCAACAGGGTTTTTTAGTTTTCTAATTTCTTCTTCTTGTGTTTGGTCTGTTTAATTTCCTGTGCTTTGTCTTTTAAGTTGGATATTCTTTCTTTTGCTTCACCAATTCTGTTTGTTAAGGCTCTGCTGAATTTTTTATTCTATTTAATTTTTTATTTCCAAGATTTCATTTTGATTTTTAAGATCTCAATTTTATGGAAGAAATCTTCTTTCATGTCATGTACAGACTTCATTAGTTTGTGCATTTGCTTCTGATTAATTCTATGTAATCCTATCATCAATTTTTTTGGTTTCCATTTCTGGCATTTCCACAATGTCATCATCTTCACAATCTAGTATTGGAGTGTTTTGTTTTTTGGGGGACGTCATGTTGTCTTCCTTATTCTTGTTTCTTGAATTGGTACATTTGTTGTTTGGTATTTGTGGAGATTTGTTGGTTTCTTCGTTTTTTTCACTGTGACCACTTTTATCTTTGGACTATGCCTCTGTAGATTAGTGGAGTATCTGCTTCCATGAATACCTAGAGGCATGTGGTGTGTGTGGCCAAGGAGCTCTATTCAGTTCTCCTGGGTGAAGGGCGTGTCTGAGGTGACACACCCAGCTGAGATGACACATCCAGGTTTGGCATGGTAAATATTTTTTTTTTTTTTTAAATCAGAGCGGAGGTTTGAGCTTGTCTATTGGCATAGATTCAGCTTAACTCCTCTCTTCAAAGGACACCAATGCCTAAGCACTAGCTCCAGGGAGAATATTATTCATCTGGTCTGCCACAAGGACCACACCAAAGATCTGTGCAGTCCCCAGTTTAGGCTCAGATTCCCCAGCAATGTCCCTCCCCAGGTATCCAGGGAGCCCTGAGCATGCAGAGCCTCCCACAGTGACTGCCCAAAGTCCCAGCCACACCACGAGCCCTCCCACAAAGCCTCAGTGCTTTCAAGGTCCTGGCACACAAGCCGCCTGTCTGTTCTTCCCATCAGACTCAGGAGTCTCTACTTGGCTGGTTGCTGGGCACAGACACAAACTGACACAGCTGTTCTGTATGTCCAAAAAGGCGCCTGCTCTGGTCTGCTCTCACCTCACTCTCCAACACTGGTGCAGAGGTTCTCAGCTGCTGGGGTCCTGAGTTGTGTATGTCCACGCCCTCCATGTAGGTCCACTGTGTCTCTCCAATTTGTGTAGAGTTTCCTCTGCTGCTTTCTCCCTCTTTCCTGAGAATCCACTCTTTCCACTTTTTAAAAACTATGTTCTCCTAGACTAGAGCATCAAGCTCCCTCCCTACTCTGCCATCTTAATCCCAAGTTCAATCTTTAACAATAAAAAATGATTAAGCATTTGTCAGATAGTCTTGCAGCATTCTATGTAATTCTATACAAATAAACTCTCTGCAAGCAGGTTATATTTGTGTGTATATATACATATATACATTCACTACATGCGTGTGGACACAAGAGAGGAATTATTTGAAAACCATACAAGAATATCTATCCTGTTGGGACAATAGTACATAGGGAAAGTTCACAGAAGTTGAAGTGTGACATAGTAAATTGGGTCTACTACAAAAAGGGATATAATTCAATTCTAGGAGTGTCTACTTATTCTGCATTGCTTAATCCATATGTCAAATGCTTTAAAAGAAGAAATACACCCTTATCCTAGTGTCCTTCAAAGTAAATTTTCTCTTAGATGACTGGCCTGAGGATATTTCCTAGGATTAAAATACTTTTCTGCAACTTTGATGCAATTCCAACACCCTAAGAGGTCCTGAGTGTGTCCTGAGTCCCTGCCATGAGACAGTCACTGTGTAGTCTGCTGAGGTTCAGTCAACCAGGCAAGGACTCATTTGTTAGCTCATTTATAATTCAATAAATCCAGCAAGGAAAAAATAATTGGAATCTCTTACAGTGCTTGGAATCTTCTAGTAGAGAGCATCTAACTTCATCTAATCCATGCATTGCTTTTCCTAATACACATTTTTCATGAACTTTCTGAAGATGCACTCGTAGCCATGGATTTCAAGATTTTCACATCAACATTAACTTGTTCTTTAATTCCATTTTCCCTGGGTTTTTGAAGCATCTTTCTAAGTATTTGACAATCGAATGGACATTCTCCCCAGTTACATGGAGTTGTTACTCCTTCAGAACTCTCCAAATACTGTGGGCCAACATGTCAGACTGCCAACCCACTAGCAGGAATATTTTGTAAGAGGAGAGAGACTAAGGATGATACGCCAAAGACACAGAAAACATGGGGCTGGAAGATGACGGTAAGCTGGGGACAAGTGATTCAAAATGAGGCACATTCCTACCTTTGACAAGGCAGGTGCTCTGAAACAAGTCAGGTGTGATGCTGGTGATGGGGTTAAAGATACAAGGAAGACGAAGAGCAGGGTGATGGGGCAGGAGAGGAAGAGGGCAAGGAGATGCAAGAAGAATGAGGGAGAAAAGAGGTTAGAAAGATAAAGGAATGGCTGGACAATGAAGGCCTGACGATGAACCTCATCTTTTCCCAGCTTTGCTTCAACCATTCAATCAACACAGTTCAAACTGAGCGGGACCAAGAAGAAACTGTGTTGTTTTGGAAACACCTACTTGGTACAGCATTGCTTAGGATCCTTGGAAGTGTGGCCACGGTTCAGGTCATCAGCAGCGTTAGGAATACCAAAAGCTAGGCTATGGGGAAGAACAGGCTGTGGGGAAGAACATTTTGTATGCATGGATCCATCAGCCACACCTATCTTCTCATCTTAGCTCACAGTCATTAAACCATCTTTCCCTCAGGTAAGTCTCCACAAGCCCCCACGTGGCCCAGTCTCTGCATCTTCCCTCATTTTATCTATGCATCGAGCCTGGAATTTCCATTTTCCTTTGCTCTTCCTCCCAGGCAAAACCTTCAGACCAAGATGCTGTCTTTTAAAAATATAGCGTGCTTCCCCACAATGATCTGTAATTTAAGCCTGGTTGTTTAAGCCCTACACAATGCCTGACACAGAACAGGCACTCCACCAATGTTTGTGGATTCTATGATTCTGAAGGATTGACAGTCCTTTTAGGAAATGCCTTTGTATTTCTGAAGAAACACACACTCATTACCAGCTGCACATTTGCTGCACAGTAGATGCATCTTCATTACTGGATTAATGATAAGTACACTAAGGAATCCTTCAGAATGCAATAAAAAGATGCAGAGTTAGGATACAAATGTTTCCACCAAAACTACTGGCTATCATTTCTGCACACAGCATCCACGTAACTGACAAATAAAAACAGCTGTGAATTTGCTAGCTTCTTACACAAATGCACCAGCATTTGCCAAAGCAAGGTCCAAATGCCATGGAGGGTATACCAGAAGAAAAACTGGATGGTTTCTATACCGACTTTTGTAGCAAGTATGCATTTACCTTCATTAGAAAAAAACAAGCAATCCCAAAGCACACCTATGATTTGATGTGTATTATTCCTTAGGCCTCGATTTCTATTTTGAAAGTGAGTGGCTTTATAAACAAGAAGAGAGTGAGTCACACAAAGCCCAAATAATGAGGGTAGTTGTTAACGGTGACTGACAATGGTAAAATCACTGAAGGCTAGGAAACTGCGGTATCCAGCAATGGGGAGAAGGAAGTGCAGCATCAGTGTGGATGGCTCGCCCTGCATCGATGCCACCATGTACAAGGTCTGTGGCTCTGGGAAAGTTGAATACGTCCTCTGAGCTCCAGGTGAAACGTGGTGGCAATCCTCATGGCAATGGTTTTTGTGAAGAATGAGATCAAGTAAAACAAACCTCAAAGTCAAGTGCCTGATGTGGCGCAGAGGCTCGCTTGACAACTCTGTAGATATCAGGGGGGTGGGGGTGGGAGGAGCGAGGTGGGTGGTAGTGAGAGAGGATGTGAGTGCTGTTGGGGTGGGGGGCAGCTGTGGATGGGGCGTGAGGACTGTGAGTGACCATAGGATGGCTGCAGGGTGGTCAAGGGTGGGTGTGGATCAGCTGCCACTGATCGGAGGCTGGGGCCAATGGTCAATATACTGGCATTGGTGATGGGTGATAAAGACAAATAGGGAGAAGAGGTCGAAGACAAGTAAGAGGAGAATTAGAACTAGAAGGTGAAACAGGAGCTATAAACCTTCACGCTTCCCCTTGATCTGGGTACCTAGGATTCCATATTCCTCCTTAGATACTGGGAATAAACCAACTTAAAAGTGATGTGATTTTTGAGCTGCCACTAATGGCTATCCTATACTGTCAAAGGCATTTTATATAGTTGGGACTGGCCGTGATGCTCGTTTTCCATGTCATACATTAAAGGAGAATATGAAGAGAAGAAGAGCAGTGAACCCCAGGAGGCAAAAGCTACTGCCTTTGGATTTACCGAGAGGGATAAAGTCCTCATTTCAGAGGGAGGAATTTTTCTTCCAAGGATGCAGTCACGTGGCGCGAGTATTTAACCATGCATGGCCTATGGGGGATATGCCTGTACAATTCACCGGCGGTGAAATCGCCACTTACTTATCTTTCCAAACAACTGACATTTTGGAGATAACCCAGACTGTAACCCTTGGCTTTCACAAACCAAATGTTTATACTTCTGTTACATACACACACTTTGCAAGATGTTAATGTGAGTTTGAAGTCACAAGCAAACATACCTTCACAAAACCAAGACTGCACAACTTGGCTTTGGCTCCAAACTGCCACTTACACTGCGTGTCGGCGTCGTACATCTGCCCCGGCAGTTTGTCCGGATATTTATATTGTCCTGTTTGCTTGGGCTCATCCACTAGGCAGCCAGCCTGAGGTGTGCTGTAGGGGTAACACAGTCGTATTAATTACCACCTGGATCTGTGATCTGTCCAAGGAAAACAACAGGCCTTCAAATCCATTCGTGCAGATAAAAGCAAAATAGAGCTCAAGAAACAGGCAAGTATTTTAAGTTAGAACTGATGTTGATTCCCAAGGCTGAGTCTTATTTAGGAGGGTCTGAAGTACACAGCCTTGGAGGGCGCCCTAAGGCGCTCCAAGTCTCAATTTTTCCAGTGTGACATGTGCTAAGAGATGGGGAAGGGAACTAGGTTTGAAAATTCCCCCAACAGACTTGTTCAACAGATCTATAGCCAGTGCCTTCTCTGTGGCAAGCTTAAGGCTCAACAATGAAGGCACAAACGAAAGCAGACAGTGGTAGTGCTTGTCTTCACGGAGCTTTACATCACGCTGTATTATTTATGAATGATGGGGCAGCCGTGGAAGATGTGATTCACCACAGGTAAGCTTTATAAACACAATTAAGATTAATCAAAGAATTGGGCAAAGGGATGTAGTAGGGCAGGAGACAAAAAATTCCCTGGGGGCTGGTGCTGTGGTGTAGCGGGTAGAGCTACCACCTGCAGTGCTGGCATCCCTTATGGGTGCCGGTTTGGGTCCTGGTTACTCCACTTCCGATCCAGCTCTGCTATGGCCTGGGAAAGCAGTAGAAGATGGCCCAAGTCCTTGGGCCCCTACACCCACATGGTAGACCCACAAGCAGCTCCTGGCTCCTGGTTTCAGGACGGGCCCAGCTCTGGCCGTTGTGGCCGTCTGGGGAGTGAACCAGTGGATGGAAGACCTCTCTCTCTCTACTTCTCCTTCTCTCTGTGTAATTCTGACTTTCAAATAAATAAAATAAATCTTAAAAAAAAAGAGAAAAGCTCAGGTCCAAAATCATGAGTGTGAAAACCAATAAAAATGTATTCTTATATGGCAAATATTCCTATTGGCAAACGATTTGTTGATTCTTTTCCTTTACTTTGGGTATCATTTGAATAGACAACCTTATGTTTAAACTCACTTGCTTCTGTATCTTGCTAATTCTCTGTTTAAAGATTTATTTATTTATAAGTCAGAATTACTCAGAGAAGCGGGGGGAAGAGGAGAGGAAGAGAGAGGGAGCGAGGGTGGGAGAGAGGGAGGGAGAATGTCTTCGATCTGCTGGTTCATTTCACTCCCCCAACTGGCCACAATGGCCGGAGCTGCAAAGATCCCAGGCCAGGAGCTTCTTCCGGGTCTCCCATGAGGGTGCAAGGGCCCAAGGACTTGGGCCATCTTCTACTGCTTTCCCAGGCCACAGCAGAGAGCTTGATTGGAAGTGGAGCAGCCGGGACTTGAACGGGTGCCCACATAAGATACCGGCACTGCAGGCGGCAGCTTTACCCTTTAAGCCACAGTGCAGCCCCTGTATCTTGCTAATTCTATGAACATTAACAAATAACCTAGCAGTGATTCAGGTAAAAACAAGAAAGTATCAATTCTAAAAAAAACTTCACTAACATCTGATCAAACCTATAGGGATTTCAACCAGAGTGTTTTATTGGTCAACAAAGATTAGTGACATTTATCTATATTATGATATCATACCTAAAATTCAAATTTAGGTTCATTCTTTCCTATGAATCAAATAGTGCTACCTTCCCTAACTCTTACTTTCATTAACATTATCTAGGAGCTATAACCTACCAAAAGGATTTTACCTATCTGTTATCCTCTGGATGTCTTTCAGACAGAACTGCTATTTCAAACAAACTAGTCAATAAAAAAAATGATTTAAAAATGAAACAAAACAAAACCACTTGAACATTTTAACACTTTCCTGACAAAGTGGTCAGACTGAAACAGTCACAGTAAAAGGACCATTCATCTAACAGCCCAGGAGGTCACAGAGGACAGAGGTCTGAGTACAGATCTTGGCCGGAACAGACCTGGGAGAGAGTCTTCCATCTGCACCACGCCAGCTCACCACTCGAAGACCTTAAACAACATAATGTCTCGAAGACTCGATTCTCAGTTAGGGTTGATTGTAGGATTACCTTGAGAAGCCAATGGAGTCACACGTGCACAGCACTTAGCACAGTGTTCGGCCTGCCATCTATTTGCAACAGCAGCAGCAGCATCAGAACATGTCAATCTTTCTGTTCACTAACAACTCATGGGGTATTTCCACTGGGTGTTTGTTGTCCAGACTTTGGCCACTATTTCCTGTCACTACTCCCAAGCCCAGGAACACCCCTCATGTTAACCTGTCTTACCTAAGGAATTTCTTGAGATACTGTCGGCTGCATGAAGACCAGGAAAACACCCCATTGTTTCCGGTCAGCGTGGGCGACATGATGTTGCCTTCTGCCTTCCTGCAGGGATTGCCTTCTCCATCATGAACCATGCCAAAGCTGGAGCAGAGCAAAGACAGCAACAACCCTCTGTGACTCCACTTTCCAGATTGTAACAGAGAAAGAAAAGATGCAGTGCGAACCCAGGGCCCCAGTGAGAGACAGAATGCTTAAAACTGTTACTACAAACAGTTGTAAAATTCCTGTAGAACATTTTGAAGAATGATAGGGCTTTACAGTATTAAGCCTTGGCCACAAAGTCAAATGATAGTGATATCCAATACTGTATTAAGGGTTATAAACTTCGGTCGAGATTTCTAAGCCAAACCACCAAAGTGATGAGACAATCAAATTATCTTATTTCAAACAGCAAAAACAGTGTCTGTGCTACCAATCGTGGAATTACAGTAAGAAAGTTCAGAGTGTGTAGGAGACAGGTAGAGAAAGAAGCTTTAAAATAGGTAGAGAAAAAAAAATAGGTAGAGAAAGAAGTTCTAAGTTTCTGGACTATGCATTTGTAACGTTAATGTAATATAAAAACTTCTTTACATTGATAATCAGTTTATTAGCTGAAGTCACAAATTCTGTTATAATCATAAAACAGTTTTTACAAAATAGTTGAGAGGCAGTCATTTGGCCTAGCACTTAACGCACTGGTTGGGTGGTGGACACTGCCTATCAGAGCACCTGACTTCAGGTTTCACTTTGTCTCCCGGTTCTGTCTTCCGGCTTATACAGACCCTAGAAGGCAGCAAGTGATGGCTCAAGTATTTGGATCCTTTCTTTGGGAGACCCAGACTGAGTTCCAGGTTCCTGGCTTTGGCCTGGCCCATTCCCTGGCTACCACAGGTGTTCGAGGAGTGAACCAGCAGGTGCAAGCTCCTTCCTCTGTCTTCTGCCTCTTTGCTTCTCAAACAAAATAAATCAATACAAAATTTTAAAAATAATGGCTGGAGCTATTGAATGCAGACACATGAAAAACTTGTTTCACATGTATTATATTAAATAAAATTTTAATTTGTCCCATTTCATCACAGAAGATTCTGGCTATTAGAGAGGAAAAACATTTTTAGGTGGTCTCTTTCCTAGAAATCACACACCTAAATTGTTCCCAGATCTCCTGACAGGTAAAATAAACATGACATTAAGGTATACTACCTACATACACACACCATAAAGACAGAGCTTCATTCATGTGATAAGGGGAAGGGTAATTAGCTACTTTATCAACTCAAAGTTGCATAAAAGCATTTTGTAATGCTTTTAAGGAGGCAGAGGACAGAGGGAAGGAGACATGAATTACATCATTTGGAATTCTATTAATCTCAGTAAACTTGTATCTCTTGGCGTTTTTATAAGGCAGATATGATTCCTAAGGAAGTCAACGTCTTCATTTCTTTCACATAGCTATCTTGGAAGGTAGTCTCTTCCAAATCAATGCTATAAGCATGGATAGGAGTTTTTAAAGACTGTCGTTTTTTTGTTTTGTTTGTTTTTTTGTTTTGTTTTTTGTTTTTTGTTTTTTTTTTTTTTGACAGGCAGAGTGGACAGTGAGAGAGAGAGACCGAGAGAAAGGTCTTCCTTTTTTTTTTTTTTTTAAAGGCAGAGTGATAGTGAGAGAGAGAGACAGAGAGAAAGGTCTTTCTTTGCCGTTGGTTCACCCTCCAATGGCCGCTGTGGCCGGCGCACTGCAGCACTTGGGCCATCCTCCACTGCACTCCCGGGCCACAGCAGAGAGCTGGCCTGGAAGAGGGGCAACCGGGACAGAATCCGGCGCCCCGACCAGGACTAGAACCCAGGGTGCCGGCGCTGCAAGGCGGAGGATTAGCCTAGTGAGCCACAGCGCCGGCCTTAAAGACTGTTAAAATTTATTTATTCAAAAGGCAGAGCAACAACGACAGGAGAAACAGAGCTAAAGAGGGATCTCCCATCCACTGGCTCACACCCCAAATGCTCCTAACGTCTGCGGACAGGCCAAGCCAAAGTCATGAAACTCCCTCCTGGTCTCCAATGTAGACGCAGGGACTCAGTACTTAAACCAGCACCTGCTACTTTCCCAGGTGCATCAGCAAGGAAGCTGAATGGGAAGAGGAGCAGACAGGACTCGAACTTGTGCTTTGATAGGGGATGCTAGGAAGCAGCAGCCTCATCTGCGGTGCCACATGCTGATCTCCATGGGCAGGATGCTATTCAGACAGATGCCCATAGTCCAGCCATTTTCCAGCCCTCCTTCCAGTTTAACAGGCAAGAACAGCAGCACGGCGACACGCTGTGACCCTGTTGGTGAAAGTCCTAGGGGTTTGCAGGTGAGCACTCACAAACAGATCTTTGTTAACCTCAACGCATTTTTTTTTCATCCTTCGCTATGCCCATCCTTCCTGTGCCTCAACAGGAAGCTAAGTGGATGTGTTTGGGAGACACATTTCTAAATGTATTTATCAAACTCAAAACCAGAAGGAAAATCTAGGTAGAAAGCACCCAAGTAAAGAGCAAAAATCATCCAAACAGAGAAGGGGCAGGGAGACATTGAAGTCGTTACTCAGGGGGAAAGTCGTTCTTAATTAGGACTTCACTGGAATTTTCTGAGCGTGAGAAAACCAAGTCTGAACTGAATTTGGAGAACTCAGATTACCAAAAAAACCACTTTTATTTAGCAGCATTAACAGTAGGAGGTCATAAGTATATTCTTCAGCTTATGCCAAAGGTCCTAGCAAAATCTCAGGAAGTCTGTTTGAAAACCTACCTAGAGCCTGAGCGTCTGTTTCATTTTCTAGTGTTCTCCTCCTCACCTCTGGGCTCTTTCCCCCTCGCTATCTGAAGAACAGGTTTTCATTTCTCCCTAGCTGCCATGTTGGAGTTTGATCACAGTTCTCCACGGCCATTGTTGTGAAAAGTGAGCCCTGCTCGTCTCAACTCCACGCTGGTGAAACACATCTGGACCTCTGTTTGACGAGCACACATCTACTTCCTGCTGCGTACAAAGGAGCCTGCTGCCTGATGGGCACAGTTCAGGCCTCTGTTCACAACAAAATGAGCTGATTCTCATCCCACTAAGGAAGCAGCCACACCTGAGAGTGCGGACATGCAAAGCACACTAGAAAACTGCTAGGTAACAGCAATGGTCCATGTTCAAATTCCCTGACAATAACAAATTCAGCTCCTAATTATAATAAAACTCCAAAATACCAAAATATAAATTATAGCCAGTTAATGGATGATATGTGGTTTTAATTCAGAAACTGGGGACTCTAAAAATTTATCCAAGTTACAACCTGGGTTACAAAACCCCACCCATGTGTATACACATGCACCAACTCCTATATTCTTTAAAGTAGTCACTTAGTAAGCAATATGCTTATTCCAATGCAGCTACTATTACTCAAAAAGTGCTTGAAAATTCTCTGTAGCAGTGTCTGCATCAGACAGATGCAGCAATGAATTTATCTCACTATGCATCAGACAAATTCAGCAAATGCATTTGTCTCACTACACTCAGGTTTCTCAATCCTCATTTCAAACTCTATTCTCACAAAGGCAGATTGACTAACATCAACTAAAAGAATATTAAGTATATGAAGGGCACCAACTAAAAACCTACTCAGCACACACATCAGAAGCTTTTCTCAACACTGGTATCCGACTGCATTCTGGAAGTTATGCCTTCATGGTTATTCCCTTCATATAAACAAGTAGCTGAAACAGACTACACTGCAATAAAACACCAGAAAAAATGCATGAAAAAGCAGACTATCAGTTAAATAACTTGCTTTCTATTTGGATACACAATGTGATACTTGTAGCTATTAAATGTTATTGTTTAAAATGATTGACATTAACAATAATTGGCCTTTGCTGGGCCCTTCTTAAAACCAGACACTTCTCAGCTTTACACGATATGCATCCTATTTATTCCACCTGTTGCAGAAATAGTCATTCAAGGAATACAGCGAATCACCCAACCAGTCTTCATGTGCGGTGGTCAACCAACAAGCCACTCACTTGTGCCCCGATTCGTGAGCAATGGTGAAAGCAAGGCCAAGTCCTGTGTCTTCATTGATGGTACAGCTTCGGTACTTACTGCACATCCCACTGATGGGAGCAAATCCTATGGAAAAGATCAAGTCCAGATGTTAATCCATAGAGGGAACACACAGACATGCGATCGTTTTTTGCATCCCCAAAATGCTCACGCTGTTTTAGTTGAGTGCACTCATGTATTTCATATTTTTTTCTAAGAAAACGACAAGGGCACACTCATGTAGTTGCCTGTTGTGAAGGGAGAATATTCAAGTGTCTCACTGCATACTGTCTTGTTTTAGACATTTTCATCAACTGAGCCTCCTGGCAACCCTGTGAGATCAATATGAGTACTGTAATTCCCATTTTACATACAGGGTAATAAGCGATAGAAAATGTACAAATTTTATCCAAGTTTATTACTTGGGATAGAGCAATTGATACAATCATAGTTAAACCAATGTAACAAATGTGTAACAGCAGCACTGCATAGAAGAACATGCAAGTGTCTAAACAACACATGCACATTAAATTCAACCTTCTCCTGTCACTCAAACGTGATAAACTGTCAAATGCCACCTGCTTCCAAAAGCTACCTCCTTCCAAGCGCAGTCATAAAATCATCTCAGCTAGCCCTTGATTCTATGTTGAATGACCTACGTATATGAATGTCTGTCTTTCTCTATCTGGGCCCCAATAATGAGAACAAGGATCAGCACCCACCTACCACTAAATACAAGCTTGTGATTGGGTTACACCCTCCCTCTAAGTGAGGACATCTGGGCAATCCCATCCCCAGGGTGGCAGCATTCTCATCTTGGTCATCATCCTCATTACTTAACAGAGGCTGCCAAACGCCACTCATATGTGCATGCATATAGCAATAGTCAAGGAAACCAAGAATCATGAAGGTCAATGAACTTGTTCACGATCTCAGATCTTCATATCTCAAGGCCTCAGCCATCAAATAACTGACACATCTGAAATTAAAGCCCATGCTCTTCGCATTAGGACGTAGTGTTTCAAGCAAGTGACCTAGGGGCCAGTGTTGTGGTGCAGCAGGTTAAGCTGCCACCTGTAATGCCAGCATCCCATATGAATGCCAGTTCAAGCCCTGGCTACTCCACTTCTAATCCAGCTCCCTTCTAATGTGCAAAACCAGCAGAAGATGGCCCAAGTGCTCGGGCCCTTGCCACCTATATAGGAGACCCAGATAGATTTTTCAGACTCCCGGCTTCAGCCTGGCCTAGTCCTGGCTGTTGCAGCCATTTAGGGAATGTACCAGCAAGGGACAGTCTCTCTCTCTGTCCTTCCCTCTCTCTGTAACTGTGCCTTTCAAATACATACACCAATCCTTATAAAGAAAGTCAGTGAGCTACAGGATAGCTCAGAAGATTCTCGGTGTATGCTCGTTTTGGCAAGTCCCTCCTTACACGCTGGTCTCTGGTTGACTGAAAAAACTGCCTCTGTCTCAACCTTTTCAAACATCAACAATGCTCTGGCTTACTGGAAGCCATCTGGCACGTTCCAAACTCGGGACACAAATGAAGTTCTGGCATCCCTGTGATAAATCGCTCTGACAGAACAACTCGGCAAATGGTTGCGTTTTCTCAAGACTGTACTTAATGGGCATTATTAAAACAAACTTCTCAGATGTAATAGAGACATCATGGAGAATCTGCAAAGCACCACAAATAGTATCAGTGGAAGCTCCAGTCTACCTGTATCTGCTATACCACAAGGGGCTAGAGAATGTTTTTGAGGCAGAGAGTGATGGGGCTCAGTCACTCCACCTTCTGTCAATCTCTCCTACCCACTTTCCCAGCAGTCTGGACCATGAGCTGTCTCAGCTGGCTGTGGCTTCCACTTCCTGGTTCTGCTTTGCCAGAAGCCAGGAACACTCGTGTGTGTGTGTGTGTGTTCTCTCTAGCTGCCTGTGCCCTGGCACCGCTGAACTGAGAAGCTGCCACAGGGGCTGTCAAGCCTAACATTCACTATCTGGTCTTTTAGGGTCGACTGTGCTGACCTCTGATCTACACAAGTACCAACTCCTGAGAAAAACCGTTAAATTCCTGCTAGGTACGATGGAATACACTAGAAAATGCAGGAGAGATTTAACCAATACCATCCGTACCCTCACTGCCTCCTAGAAGTTTACAAGTAACTTTCTCCAGGAGGGACTGCTACATGGTGGCAGGGTTTGGCACCTTTCTCTCCAGCTGTCTAGTTCAGTGGTCCGGATGCCAGTGGAACGAACTACAATTTGTCTAGTTCAACAAGGAAGTATCTCCCCCAACATAATCATGAATACCGTTACACAACGATATTCATTGGAGTGTATATTGACGGTACTCCACAATTTAAGTAGTACAAGAGTCTTTATTCAAGACTATCCAAGGGCTACCCACCCAGTAGCAAGTTTCCTTACTATGTTTTCATCCAGCAGGTTTGCGTGAAGGTATGTTCATACCATACCTAAAGTGTCACATGGTTCGTTCTTCCAGGAACAAATATCGAACCCCGTGAGGAGGATGGCATGGTCGTGCCTCTTGCCATTCTTCCCGATCAGTGCAGACTGCCACTGGCAAAAGCTGTTCAGAGACTGGTCCGCATGGTGGTTGATCAGTAATCCTCCCTGTGGAAAACCCACATGAGTCAGAGTGCGAATCTGTCACCAACGTGAGAGCGATGAATCAGTCCACTGTACAGGCAAACACAGAAGCGTCATGCTTCTTGGGAAAAATGTTTGCAAACTCTTGAGACAACGAGGGGGGAAACAATCTATTTTAGGTAACTTCTCACACTGCTTAAAACAACTACAGTTTTCAGAGCTCAGTCTATGACCAACTGTGTACCTCTAACAGAAAGAATCAGACATCAGTTAGTAGTATATCTGCTTACTTCAACTGTTATCACAATCTAAGATGGTTAGAACTCTTAGAACATAGTAATAGGCCGGCGTGTGGCTCACTTGGTTAATCCTCTGCCTGCAGCGCTGGTGCCCCGGGTTCTCATCCCGGTTGGGGCGCCAGGTACTAGTCCCGGTTGCTCCTCTTCCAGTCCAGCTCTCTGGTGTGGCCTGGGAGGGCAGTGGAGGATGGTCTAGGTGCTTAGGTCCCTGCACCCATATGGGAGACCAGGAGGAAGCAACTGGCTCTTGGCTTCGGATTGGCGCAGCGCCGGCCGTGGCAGCCGTTAGGAGAGTGAAGCAATGGAAGGAAGACCTTTCTCTCTGTCTCTCTCTCATTGTCTATAACTCTATAGTTATCATCTCTCTCACTGTCTATAACTATAGTACCACTGGCTTCACTGTCCTTGGACAATGTAGGAATACAAGAGGTAGGCTACAGACAGAAGTGTTTCCCAACCAATACATGCTCTTCGTATTTTCCTAAAATTCTCAGAATGATTGATCAAGTTTCTGGCCTCTGAAGTCTGCACACATGGGCAAGTAGATCAGTCTCTGTCTTGCCTTTGACTCCTTGTGTTTTGTGTTCCTTATTGGGATTGCAGACGAAGAGGACAAGCCTCAGGGGACTTAAAAATTGATTGGTAATCCCTGCCTCAGAAAAATACAATTGAAGCATCGAAATACTACAAAGCTGTAAGTGCCATGAAACATCACACTCAATTATAGGCTCCAGTTTTATAGTTTGCCCTGTGCCTGCATCTCACACCTCACTGTAGTTAATTCAAGAGCAGTTCAATCTTTCTCCTTTATTCTCTATAGTTCCTAGGGTGATGCTGGGGCGAAAGCAGATTCATGACAAGAATTTCTAATGACTTATTTTTTGTTTGTTTTCTAAATATCCTTCTATATCTACCTGCAATTACTCGGCATATCAAATTTGCAAAATCCAGCTAGTTCTGAGATCTGTGACCAAATGATCCTTCACTGTGAAATTTGTCTGTAAATGCTTAATATTATGTGCTATTATCGATAGACACATATACAAATTCTAGATACATTTATATATAAAAATTATTTTATGGTGTTGCAGTTTTACCATTTGATTACACAACCCTATTAGTATGCCCAGTTGAATATTCCTCATCTGAAATGCTTAGGACCCTAAGTGCTGAGGATCTGCAATGTTTTTTTGATCTCTGGAATACTTGCATGCACCTAATGAGATCATCCTGGAGATGAGATCCAAGTTAAATGCGAAGTTCATTTCTATTTCCTATATACCTTACACACACAGCCTGAAGCTAACTTTACACAGTGTATTCATTGTGCCTGCATTTTCACTCCAGTCTACCTTATGGGGTCAAGTGTAAAGTTTTCCATTTGTAGCACTGTGTTGGTGCTTAAGAAATGCTGGATTGTTGCATCAGGAGTGTTCCATAGAGTCCTTTCAAATTGCATTTGTAATGACTAAAGCACGGGTTGGTACACAGTGGGTGCTCAATGAATGTATCCCAAATGGCGACACGAATGAAGAAAACAATGAAGTTTGTCACTTACAGGTTCTTGTTCCAAAAGAATGAGGCTCACCACAACAATGTTGATGTCACTTCCAATGGTCCCATCTTTAAATAGACTGGAAACCTGTTGGACAAATGGAATAGAACCAAATTTTACAATTTTGTTAACTTCATGGAGCATGGCAAGAGACACAGAGTCTTTGTAAATACGTGGATTTCCATTTCACCAAACACACGAGCAGTTTCCTCAAAATTCAGGCCCCTCCCAAGAAGGCCACGTGACTGCATCTGGAATTCAACCCATGCAGGGATTCTACGCTTCTCGGTTTCCCTGCAGAGCCCAAAGGGTTCACAAGAGCCTCGCTTACCATGTTCATGACCGTCAGAATGTACGTCGTGACGTTCCCCCGGCCGTGCTTCTCCACCATCTTCTTGTCTGCTACCACCAGGGTTTCCACATTCAGGCCCTTCTGTGACTTCCCAGCGGATCGCCTGGGTCGCCCGGAGCTCCCGTATTCGTCGAACCTCAGATAGGTGTCCTCTGTGGGAGGCTTGGGGGCATCTACAAGGACCGTAAGAGCATTTGGAAGGAAGGGCCATCAATAGATAAAGTCTAGGTTAGGGAGAGACAGCAATCTGAACCCGGGGAGGAGAGGAGCTATGCAACCCACAGTTTGCTAATCCACTACTAAGTGCTCATACGAGGCCAGACTTAGTACTCTGCACCTAGTACACAGGTGAGAGATTGTTTGATTTCTTTGATACATGCTTGGATGGATGGGTGGGTGGATGGATTCCGTAACTCAAAGATGCTCTGAAGAGTAAAAGAGAACAATCCATTTGGTAGAGTAGGTCAACAAAAAACAATTTTAGGGAGGGTCTTTAACACTTGATTTTATGTAGAGTGTAACTCCTGCACAACACTGCCCAAGCCCTATGCTGTTTTTTCACTAGCACAAACTTAAACATAGCCCCGCCCAGTGAGCAAAAAGGATTCTTGCATCTGACACGGATGCAGTTATCAGAGTATCGGTGTGGTTAGGGATGACATGAAAACTCTATGAAACACTTTCTGTAACTGGTAAGGAGTGGGCGCCAACCGAACAGAATGCACACCGGCCACAGCCTTTGACCGAGGTCAGGGAGCCCCTCAGGACACCGTTAGCCGGGGGACAGAGCAAGTCCAAAGGGTCCTGGGAAGGAAAAGGGCATTTGGAAAGCTCTCTTAAGTACCTGCACACTAACTAGGACAGGAAGATGCTAGGACTGTAGCCACCGGTACAACCGTAATGCCAGCTCCCTACAGAGCACAAAGAGAAGGTCACAGCACTCGGAGTTAGGTTTAAAAACTCCAGCCGGCCAGGTATCTGGCTTGTGACCTTGAGTCTCAGTTTCATTACCCCTGGAAAGACCGTGACACTTACTTATAAGGTGGCTCTCAAAACGAGCTTTGACATCTCACATTGAATAAATATCATTACCCCCAAAACTATGTACTATTATATACACGTGTCAAATGGAGTACCCTAACGAGGACATTTCAACAGCACCAAAAACGCCCACACAAATCACAGTTTCTGAAACACGGTCTTTCCCTGTTTCTCCTGATTAACAGGACAGGGGCCCGGATCCCCCTTCTACACGAGAGCCCTCCTTAGCCTGTGCTGTCTGGTCGGGAAGCCACCTGCCACTCACGTCTACACAGTCTGCAGAGCACGTCTGGGACAACAGGAGGAAGGAGGTTTTACTTTTACTTTTTAAACAGCAGTCATTAACACAGTTAGTGAAAACCTTACGAGTGTGCTTGAGACAATGTGAGTATGTAAATCAAAATCTAGACACAGATCAGTCTTCCTGATGAAAACTTATCACCTGAACTGAAATTGTACTGAAGTAGGGGCCGGAGCCAGGGCACAGTAGATTAATCTTCTGCCTGCGGCATTGGCATCCCATATGGACACTGGTTCTAATCCTGGCTGCTCCACTTCCAGTTTGGCTCTCTGCTATGCCCTAGGAAAGCAGTGGAAGATGGCCCAAGTCCTTGGACCCCTGCACCCACGTGGGAGACTCAGAACAAGCTCCTGGCTCCAGATTGGTGCAGCCCCAGCCATTGTGGGTATTTGGGGAGAGAAGCAAAGGAAGGAAGATCTTTCTCTCTGTCTCTCCCTCTCACTGTCTGTAACTCTAACTCTCAAAATAAATAAAATCTTTAAAAAAAAAAAAAAAGAAATTGTACTGTAAGAAAATTCTAGATTTCCAAAACTTACCATGGACAGAATATAAAAGCCTCTACTAATAATGTTGCATCAATTACATGTTGAAATGATCCTATTTCCTTTCTATTGATTTAAATAAAATGCTATTAAAATTCATCCATCCATTTGTTTAAGCCATGTTTTGATGTGGCTGTGAACAACCTAACATTACATCTGGGGCTTGTGTTGTATTTTCACTGGGCATTCTGACTTACAAAGGCAGCAGCTGTGCCCGGGTCACAAGTCACACCCAAGGGCACTGGACTTCACTGCCCGCTCCTCTCTGGAGCATCTTGCCTTCACGTGCTCCGAACACCCAGCCGGACACCTGGGCACTGACCCAGACGCAATCATCATGAGTCCGCATACTCTGCCCACAAGCACAGAAATGAAGCCCGGGACCCAAAGAGCCATGGAGGAAACTGTGCCGAGGCCTTTCCTAGTTTACCAGAGAAAACCAGCTCCTCCCGCATCAGCCTGACGGGGACAGCGCCCATCCACCTCCAGGACACCACTGTGGTAGGGACTGCGGCAGCCCCATTCTACCCTGCCGAGCCCCCAGCGGCGCTCGAGACAGCCCGGTGAGGCCCACACCAGAACAGAACAAGAGAAAGTTTCCTTACATACATTTCTTGCGTCGTCCACAAAAATGCTGCTTTTGCAGCCTTCGAGGGTGGTGCCGTGTTTCTTGACTCTGAGAGGTGTGGGGACCGTGACCGTGACCTGGGGAGGGACCAGGGCGATTCCAGCCGGAGCCCGGGGGGCCGCGATAGCGCTGGACCGTCTCCTCCGCTGTCCTCTTGTACAGTACATGGGGATGGTGACCTGCTGGGGGGCTGTAGTTGTGTTCCTGAGCCAGCAGCTGAGGTAACGGCGAGATGAGGAATTCATTCTGTCGTGTCCTGATGAGACCCGACTACAAAGCCAAACACAGAGACAGCGTTCAGGATTCCTGCTCCCTGACTGTTCAGGTCTCGTTTGCAGCCCTGTGCACTGACTACTTCCCAGGTGCAGGCACTGTGCCGAGTGCTGCCCATGCACCTCTTGCTTGTAGCTGCACCATTACCTGTTGGTGTCACTATCACGCCCGTTTTACAGAAGGGAAGACTGAGGCTGAGAGACTAACTGTGAAAGCGGGTAGTGGCGCCCAGAGTTTTTGCCCTTCAAGAGCAGGGCTTTTCTCTACTCGGCTACAGAGGCACTGGGAAAACACTGCACTGATGGCTGAACATTAAAGCACCTTACCCTCGGAGGATTTGTAGGGTAGTGAGTGAAACAAAGTTGGCCCACCTGGATTTCACATAAACCCTACATCCGAGGACTAGCATAGATGGCCAGGAAGGCGTGAGGGGTTCCCTCTAAGCCGGGGTCTGATATCGCAAACCTGCACTGTATGCACACTGCACATAGCGCACTGTACTCTCACCTCTGGACACAGAGCCCCTGGGCATCCAGGCCCTGCTCTACAAAGCATGGTCAGCAAGCCAGCGGCTTCAGCTCACTCAGAATCAGAATCTGCATTCTATTAAAGGCCGTGAAAGACTTGCATGCCTCTTACCATTTGAGAATCGTTGATATAGCTCAGTATTTGAAAACTCTGTTGTGGGGTTCACACTGTGGCACAGTAGGTAAAGCCTTTGCCAGCAGTGCTGGGACCCCACATGGGCACCAGTTTGAGTCCCAGCTGCTCCTCTTCCATTTCACCTCTGTGCTAATGGCCTGGGAAATCAGTGGAAAATGGCCCAAGTGCTTGGCCCCTGCACCTGCCTAGGAGACTCAGAATAAGCTCCTGGCTTCGCATCAGCATAGCTCCAGCCATTGTGACTGGGGAGTGAGTGAGCCAGCAGATGGAAGACCATTCTCCCTGTCTCTGTCATTCTGCCTCTCAAATAAATAAATCCTTAAGAAAAAAAAAAAAGCTTTGTTGTACATTAGATTCACCCAAGGATGTTAAACACACACTTGCCCAGGAAGAATCCCATTCCATTAAAAGTAGACAATCTATGTGGCTGATACATCAAACTTTCTTAACCACCCCCAGGATTATCATAACGGATACACACACATGTGAACCACTGCTCTGGGCCAGAGCTTCTTCCAATGGAGAGATTTCTTCCTGCTCTGACCACCTTAAACAGGGAGACAACACAACCGCTGCTCAAGTCCTCCACACACTCTGCACCACAGCAATTTAGATGGCTGGTGATGGCAGTGATTGATTCAGTATTTATGGAGGTCCAGCTGAGAGCCAGGCACTCAGATCAGGGAAGGCAAGAGCAGTGAGCTAGATATACACGGTGTATGTGTACGGTTCACTGGGAAGACCCAGGCACCTGCCAGGATGGGGCACAATGCTAAGTGGGGTGTTGAAGCCATGGAAACGTAAGTGGATGAACGGCATCAGAGGGGCTTCCTCGGCCTTATTTCAGCTCCAGGTTGGGGTTCACTTGCTCACTTCTGGATGGAGACCCAGAGCGCACAGTTTGGTTCTGATTTTCCTGTCGCTGCATGCACCTCTTGTCTTCTGAGAGACTATCTTGCCAGCTGTGACGTGGACATCTACATTGGTATCTGGAGCCTGGGCACAGGAACAGGTGACTTTCCTTTCTCCAGGCACATGTCGTGTACCCCAAGTCTTGGCCCTGCCCTAGACACCGGTGTAAACACAGAAGGTACACAGCAGGCAAATCAAACAGCACATGGGCTCACGGAAGTGATGGAAAAAGAGAAGTTACAGGCAAGATTAAAAAAAAAAAAAGTCCAGATTCTACCATTCCTGGAGATCCTGTCCACCTGTCCCCTGGATGTAACTCTGAGGAGCCCACCTTCCCCAGCCCATCCTGGTCGTGCGGGGGGACCCGCCTCCTGTCCTCTCCAACACAGTCCTCCCCTGCCAGCCAGAGTCCCCGTCCAACATAAGTGAGTTCGGACTATGCACTCTGGTGTTCGTCTCTCTTCCTGGCCCTCAAATCCCTGTGTAACCCGCTCCCTGCTGACCCTGCCAGATTTACCGGTTCCCCCCCACCCCCGACACCACGCCCAACAGGATGCCACACCCACTTTGTGAACCTCCGTCCTTGAGGACTTGGCTCATGCTCCTCCTTTTCCCTGAAGGCACCTCCCACCGGCTTGCTTGGCTTTGCGGGTGCTCAACGCCGACATCTCAGCTGAAATCTCACCTGCTCAGCACCCACGGCAAACCCCCCTTCCCGGTTTCACAATGCTCATGAGCCACAGTGTGTTGGCCTCATGCCTATCTCCATAGAAGGCAAAACAGGGGCTGGCACTGTGGCATAGCTGGTAAAGCCTGCAGTGCCAGCATCCCATGTGGATGCCAGTTTGTGTTCCAGCTGCTCCACTTCCAATCCAGCTCTCTGCTATGGCCTGGGAAAGCAGTAGAAGATGGCCCAAGTTTTTGGGCCTCTGCACCCACGTGGGAGACCCAGAAGAAGCTCCTGGCTCCAGATTGGAACAGCTCCAGCCACTGTGGCCAATTAGGAAGTGAACCAGCAGATGGAAGATCTCTCTGAGCCGGCACCATGGCTCACTAGGCCAATCCTCCGCCTATGGCACCAGCACCCCAGGCTCTAGTCCTGGTCGGGGCGCCGGATTCTGTACTGGTTGCCCCTCTTCCAGGCCAGCTCTCTGCTATGGCCAGGGAGTGCAGTGGAGGATGGCCCAAGTGCTTGGGCCCTGCACCCCATGGGAGACCAGGATAAGCACTTGGCTCCTGGCTTCGGATCAGCGCAGTGCGCCAGCCGCAGCGCGCCGGCCGCGGTGGCCATTGGAGGGTGAACCAACAGCAAAGGAAGACCTTTCTCTCTCCCTCTCACTGTCCACTCTGCCTGTCAAAAAAATAAATAAATAAAAGAAAAAGATGATCTCTCTCTCTCTCTGCCTCTCCTCCTCTCTCTGTGTAACTCTTTCAAATAAGTAAATCTTTAAGAAAGGAAAAACAAGATGTGCCCCTCTCCTCCCACCACCTCGGACATACAATTGCAATGCACACTTGTTGAGGGCAGGGGCTACACTGGTAACTTGGCACGTGCCACCTCGTATCTGCCTCTTAGTCTACAGACACACAGCAGGACAGAGGGGTGCTGGGGGCTGGCCAACATCAGAGCCCGAAAGCAGAGTCTGGAAATGACAAGTTCAAGGTGGCCGATTTCAGGTGTGAAGTCAAGAGTATTCCATGCAGGAGTTCACAGTTACCTGTCAGATAGAACTGGGGTTGGGAGTGGGCATCTGGCACAGTGGCCAAGCTGCCCCCTGGGACACGAGTGCCTGATTTCCATGCTGGCTCCACTGCTCCCTTCCAGCTTCCTCCCTAATGCACATCCTGGGTGGCGACAGGTGATGCTGGAGTCCTTGGTTTCCTGCCAAGGACGAGGGAGACCTGGATTCAGCTCCAGGCTCCTGGCTGGGGCCTGGCCCAACCGTGGCTGTTACGTGGGGATCTGGGGAGTCCAACAGTGGACTAACAGTCCTACCTGACTGCCTCTCTACCTTGGAAAATGAAATGAGAATAAAAAAAATTAAAAATAAAAAAACTGCATGCAGACAAAAGACACCTACTTGCAGGCTCCCATAGAGTCAGCACTTAGAGAAAGTAGTGAATTAGTCTTGAAAGCCCTCCAGCCTTATTAACTTCCTCACTGAGCTCAACTAACCAGACGAACAGGTTTGCAAATTCTCTGTTTTCTGTTTCATCAAAACTGCAGGCTTCCCAACACCTGGTAGAAGCTTCGGTATTGAGAAAGCAATGAAGAAACTAATGCTCATCCCCTCTGGGTGCAAACACTCCGGCCCCACACCGTCCTGTCTCACTGTTTACAGTAGGACAAGCATCTAGAGAAATCATTTCACTGAGACAAAGTTTTCTTTTCCTGGTTTCAGTTGATGAAAAAGCCTGGAATCTGACAGAATGAGTATGTTTTACAGCTTAAAAATAAAACCCAGTGCATCCAAAAGCAGTCATCTGTTTATTCACGGCGTGCGTGAAACGTTGTGAGCTGCCAGACACGTGCAGCTCTTGGCCGAATCCCATGAGGCTGTGCTCCAGTGTGGCCTCCCATCAAATGGGGGCAGTGGGGATGGAGAAAGTCAGGCTCACATGTGGAAGCAGACACGGTATGAAGACTCAGGTTGGCGTTTAACAGGAGACAGTAACCAAAGTAGGCAAAGTCAGTGCACGGTCACAGAACACAGGACAAGCGCTTTCACGGAGACTGGAAGTCCACTCCTGGTTCCTGCAGGGAAAGTCTAGACAGAGCTCGGAAAGCGATGGCTCAGAATTAAGGAGGAGAAAAGATGGCAGGAGTTGGAACAAAGCCCAGACTCCTGTAGAAGCAGAAGAAAAGGCCGGCTCTGTAATGCAGTGGGTTAAGCCGCCATTGTCAGAGCCAGGACCCCATATGAGTGCCGGTTTGAGTCCTGGCTGCTCCACTTCCCTTCCAGCTCCTTGCTGGTGGCCTGGCAAAGCAGCAGATGACCAAGAACTTGGGCCCCTGCACCCATGTGGGAGACCTGCAAGAAGGTCCTGGCTCCTGGCTTTGGCCTGGCCCAACCGTGGCCACTGCAGCTGTTTGGAGAGTGAACCAGTGGATGAGAGATCTCTTTTTCTCTCTCTTTCCTTTGTTCTAACTCTGCCTTTCAGAGAAACAAATAATAAATCTTAAAAAAAAAAAAAAGAAGAAATTCGAGACCATCCTTGTGTTCCCATAGAGAAGAGGAAGGTCTCCACGTCCACCAACGTGATGACATGAGGACAGTGGAGCAGCTGCCCCCAACTCCCCTTTCCCTTAAGCCAGGGATACAGACCTGCGTGGTGCCCCCTACAGGACGCTGTGCAGAAGGGCTGGCTCATAAGGAATCTTCCCTCATTAATATTCCACCTTTCTCAGTTTTAAAGACTAA